TCTTGATGATGTGGAAATCGGTAGGTGGTTGAGCCATAGTGTGACTAGAACAAATTACCAGTTCCTTTTGGAAGTAATGGACATGCGGGAGTACATAGCGCAGCACATTTTAAGGTAGATGGTGTTGTCTTAGGACCCGGTGCAGTCTGTTAGTAGTATGTGAGCAGCTACCTCAGGTGCATAGGCATGAAGTAGACTGTCTGTAGGAGTGCAAGTCAGAGGTTTCAGGAACCCCTCAGCTTCAGGTTATTCCTGTGTGAGCGATCTTCCTTCTACACCAGTTTGGTGTGCATTGATTCAGGTCATTTTTCCAGTGCCTGTAAATGATCACCCATATCATTATGTTTAATGGTGTATTCGTCCATCTTGGGTTTCCTAATGTGTGGTTTGATCTTTGATGTCTTTCCTTAGTGTGTCTACAGTTTGCCACATAGAGTTCAACTTTTGGGAGAATGTCTCCAGGGCTTGGTTCAGGTAAGTTATGTCTCTACTGGTGGCCACTAGAGGTGCTTCCTAGTCCTGTGGAGTCTGCATGGAGACACTGGACATTCCCCATAGAGATGCATCGATTCAATGCATCTTTATGAGGAGATGCTGATTTGCCAGCATGGTGGGAAAGCACTGGATTGACGGAGACCATAAAGTTGTTCTGCAGCCCAAGGGCCTTTCATGTCGGGCACAGGATTGCTATTGTCAGACCCCTTATTGCCATATTGAAGCGCGGCCAAGGACGTAGAAGCTAATGTCTGTCCAAAAAAGTCGAGCTTCTCTGATCTAGCGGAGCTTTTCTACACTTTGCTTTGTTACACGTTGTGTAAAACTTAAATTTTTTTTTTTTTTTTCTGCTGAACGATTTTATTGAAGGTTGAGGTGTCTATTGCATTGCAGGCTTTTTCATGTAAACACTGCCTTTTCAGGGAAAAGACTGTGTTTACATTGCTGGCTAGTTATGTCTCTACTGGTGGCCACTAGAGGTGCTTCCTAGTCCTGTGGAGTCTGCATGGAGACACTGGACATTCCCCATAGAGATGCATTGATTCAATGCATCTTTATGAGGAGATGCTGATTTGCCAGCATGGTGGGAAAGCACTGGATTGACGGAGACCATAAAGTTTGAGAAAAGGTACGTTTAACCCCTTAAGGACCAAACCTCTGGAATAAAATGGAATCATGACATGTCACACATGTCGTGTGTCCTTAAGGGGTTAAACACATTTTCCATGCCACCGAAGGAGTCACCTCAAATAGTTAACACTGTATTGTCTGGAATACATGTTTGTATTCATGACACTATAGTATTCCTTTAACACTGTGACAAGAGCTTCTGGCTCTCACTGAGCAGTAGAAACAGATCACAGGGCCCCAATCTGGCATTCTATCTATGGCACTGAGCAACCTTAATCTGGCTCTGCTATGGGGCCAGATGTGAGATGCAAGACCATGGAGGGTCCTGGAGTGTTATTCAACAGATTCTGAATATGTTGCTTCGTAAGGATTGCTAGCGGCTCTAGAGCCAAGATTTAGTGGTGAGAGAAGCAAATGGTATAAGTAACAGATCTCATGGCACAACTTGTAATGGCAGATGAAGAAATTATGACACAATTTTAAATGCAGAGTACAAGTTTTATGTGCTGAAATACTGTTTGGAAACCAAGACAACATGTTTAGGTCTTTAGTTATGCAAACTCATAAGCTGGGGTGTCACATGGAGGAAATGGATATGGGCAGCACATTTTAATGCATTACAAACTGAATCAGACATTTTGGCTCATGTAGCCAAACTCTGGTTTTGGTTATAGATGACTTTGGGTACGTTTCCAAATCCACATTTTTTTTATTTGCCTAACTATTGCAATACACTTTTTTTCGATCCACTGCAGGTTTGTTTTGTTTTTTTTAAGTAAGTACATAAATATCTATATTCCCCTAACTAATAAAACCTGCCTTTGCAAAATAAATAACATTTCCTGGGATAATATTGTAATATTTTTCTCTGAGACCTGTTTTCTGGGTCTTATTAAGAACGCTGGCAATTATGACAAGGAAATTGCAAATTTTAAATCCGATGTGTCCTTCTCATTCATCTTGGCCAAGAAGTGTTTAATTATTTTGTCATTTTTCTTGATATAATGAATGAGCCTCATTTTTGTCTGTATACATTTCTGGTCAAAGCTTGTTTGCTTGTTTTTTTTTTTTTTGTTTTTTTTCCTAGTCCGATGATCTGTATGTTTACTAGTTACTATCATGTGCCAATTTCACAAACATTATTTTTTCAATTCATTTTAAAGAGGAAGTGTCACACCAGAATGTGTTTCCTTCTTCTCTATATTTAATGGTTTTATGCCTGTGATGTCTGGAAAAAATATGTAAAAGTAGAAATTTACAAGTCTGTATTTATCTTTATTCTGAAACTAGGCCTGGAGGGGAGAATGGAGTAGTAACCCATTACAATGTAAGATAAGGATAACAGCAACATATATAAAGCAAAAAGATACTTGCAACAGCGGAGTGGATTATTGAGGTACTATGTATTGGGCAAAGGAGAAGGATGGAGTATTACATCTGAGGAGAATGTGGAACTATATATGGGAGGATGGGCTACGTACTATGGGGGGTAGAGGTGGTTGAATTGACAGCTATAGAAAGAAGGGCAGGAGGCAGTTAAATGTGAGGGGCTTCTAGTTACTGGGGGGGAGGGAGGGGCAGAAAATAGGTTACTGCTTATGGAGAGCAGAGGAGGAGAACGGAGTACTATCTGTTGGAATTTGTTCTAGAATACAGACAATGGGAGGTACAAATACACACACACAGCCAATCCATACAAACACACCACAGCATTCACAGCCACGTACTCCCCAAGAACATTAACGCTCATGTGAGCACACACCACCCTGCATTCATACACATATGCCACTGAACTTCCCAACATATGCCACTGTGTTTATTCACACTGACCCTTCACGCATGCAAACCTGTGTTCAAAAAAATATGGCCCTGTATTTACACACACACACATACAGACCCTCAAGACAAGTATAGTCTGCACACACATACTGATGTCACAGGTGTACTTACTTGTACTTGAAATCATTAAACATGCACAAACATAACCTTTAACTCCTGGTTAGTAACTTAGGACACAACAATTTGAGCCCTGCATACCTCATACAAACACGTTATCATGATTCACAAATACCTCCTTAGACTATACATACTACCTTGCTACACCAACACACATAACAAATTCTAAAAAACAAATCTTTATTTAAATACACCCATCCTGACACTACACACAAATACATAGTTATCCAATTACATCAGGGCTCACAGCGACTATACACACAGAAACCACTTTACATGCAATAAAATACACCGTACATGTAAACCAGACTGGTCTATCCCTTTTGTAACATGTATATTGCCCTTCAGGGGGCCAAGGGCCTAATTTTGCCTCAGGGCCCTGGCCACTGTCAGTCCTTCTCTGCAATTCATTGGAGTTTAAATTTTAAGGTCAGGACCTGGGGAGATAGCGCAGCTAAGTGGACAAGGGTACATGTAGGAGTGTGGGGATAGATGCATGGGATTGGTTGGGAAAGCGTGTGTGGGTGGGATTATGTTCTGTGTAAATTAGTTTGGGGGAGGTCTTACCTCAGTGCCACTTGGAATTCGGGCCAGCAAACCACTTCCTGTCCTGCTGCTCTTGTTTGCCTGGGCCTGCAGATTTACACAGCTTGAGGGATGGAGGTTGAGGTTTTCTGGCTTCCCCCAGAGCTGCTGCAGCGTGGATGGTGGCCGGCGACCCCTCTCCCCTGGGTGGCTGCCGGTGTGGGTGCTCCCCCCCCACGGCCTGTCTCCATCTGGGGCCTTTTCCTGTGGCCCCTGCTTTCCTCTCCCCTGGGGATGGCTGCCTGACTCCTCTCCCCTGGGGATGGCTGCCTGACTCCTCTCCCCTGGGGATGGCTACCGGCGTGGGCCCCCCCGCGGCCTGTATTTATCTGGGGCCTCCCCTGTGGACTCTGCTCCTGGGGGCCAGGTTGGCGCCAGCCAGCATTCCCGCCCGCCAGCTCAGCACCCCCAATACTGCTCCTCTGGCCCGGTTGAGGAGGTGGAGCCCGGGCCCAAGGCATCACCTGGCCGCGTGTCTGAGGCTCCAGACACGCGGCCTTCAACTGCTGCAGAGGATGCGTGACCTCCACCTCCTACGGCCGGTTCGCCGGGGGCTGTTAGGAGATGGGTGACGCATCACGCACACTGTGTGGCCGGCCAGAGGCCTTCCCGACTGCTGCATGGCTGGCGCGGTAGCCGGGCCGTGACTGGGACCCCAGCGGAGAGTTGGGCCCTGTGGGCCGTGCGGGGTACAATTTTAGAAAATTGGGCAGACTAGATGGGCCGAATGGTTCTTATCTGCCGTCACATTCTATGTTTCTACTGCCGTTGGGGGGGACCTCTCCTGGGGGGGCCTCCTCTGCCGGTGAGGATGGTGCCCGTAGGGGGGTCTCTCTCCCCTGACCCCCACCCCCTTTTTCAGTTTTCCTCCTTCCCCTTCTCATGTTCTGGTACTGGGGGCCCTCTTTTTTTTTGGTTCCCTGGGGGGGCCCCCCCATCTCCTCTCCCGGTGTCCCCCTGGGTTTTCCTATTGTTTCTGCTGTGCTTTTCCCCCCTCCCCCTCTCTGTTCTTTCTCCCCCTCTCTGTTCTTTCTCCCCCTCTCTGTTCTTTCTCCCCCCCCTATGTTCTTTCTCCCCCCTCTGTTGTTTCTCCCCCCTCTCTGTTGTTTCTCCCCCCTCTTGTTTCTCCCCCTCTCTGTTGTTTCTCCCCCCTCTTTCTTTCTCCCCTCTCTGTTCGTTCTCCCCCCCTCTGTTCTTTCTCCCCCCCTCTCTATTCTTTCTCCCCCCTCTCTGTTCTTTCCCCCACCCTCTGTTTCTTTCTCCACCTCTGTTCTTTCTCCCCACCTCTGTTCTTTCTCCCCCCCTCTCTGTTCTCCCCCTCTCCTGTTCTTTCTCCCCCTCTCGCTGTTCTCTCCTTCCCTCTTGCTCTGTTCCTCTCCGGTGTCCTCCCCCTTTCCTCCCCTGCTCTTACCTGTTCCTGTCTCTTCTGGGTCTTCTCTGCCTTCGGCTCTTCACTCTCTGGGTCTCCTCTTCTCTCTGCCGGTTACTTACCTCGGCTGCCGTATGGTGGAGCGTGGGCTCACCTACACGTGCTCTCCTCACAGGTCCTGGCTGCAGTTCCTCAAAACGCCCAGCAGGGGGCGCCTGGAACACCTTAGAAGGACACAGTGGATGCTGAATTCTTTGTCTTCTGCTTGGACTGTCTTCACTTGTTATGCCGCGGGCGGTACGCGGGGCATTGGCTGTTGAGTACGTGGTCCCTTCTTGTATCCGGTTGGGTCCCTTTAGAGCTGAGGGGGTCTTAGCGCTGCTCAAAAAAAAAAAGAGTAAATTAAAAATTTGGAAATTTCAGCATAAATAAATATATAAATAAAACTGAATGAATACATAAATAGAATGTGAAGTAAAAGATAATTTTTTTTTTTTAAATCCCTAAATAGAATGAGAAATAAAAGATTCCCCAAAAAAACCCAAAATAAAAACAGTCCACTCTGGTTATTTAATGCCCCCACCCCTTTACCTGTATTTATCATATTTTATAGTACAGTTTCCTGCAGCATCCTGCACAGCTAATAGTGCTGGCGTTGCCTCCCGGGAGGCGGGCAGTTAGGGTGGCGCAGGACGCTGCTGCGGGGCACTAGTATGGCCTGCTTTGATTTGCGCATGTCGCGAAATACTGGGGAGCAGTGGTGAGGGGGTTGTTTATTGGTGAAATGTTTCCCTCATGCCGCGGGGGGCCCCGTGCTTGTGAGGGACTCCAGGAGGGGCATGGGGGAGGAATACCGTAATCGGTTGCACCCCATGACGCGCGGGAAGTGTGTCAGGGCATCGTATGTTCTGGATAGCATTGTCGGGGAGAGGGCTCCCTGGGTATGCTCCACGTTGTTCTGTGGTCCGGGCACTTGCTGTGAAGCATGTCGTTCCTAGGGTGAGCTGGGTTGGTGTCATTTTAAAAAAAAAAAAAAAAGGACAATGCGTTCCTGCATGAGGGCTCTGGTCGCAGGGAGGCCCATCCCGTCCCCCGCGTTTTTTTTCATCTGTCGGGATAGGGGACGTGGATGCTCTCCGAGCAGAACCTTTCGGCCCATATGAGACTTTCATCAGGTGTTGCGGGAGCAGCTTACCAAGAAAGCTTGGTAAGCTTCCCTCCCGACCAATTTTAGGGTGCCCCCGGAGTCCGCTCCGCGGGTCCCCACCTTGGGTCATGGTGCCCATGGAGGGGCAGGGTCAATATCGCATGATTTCTTATTTACTCAGTTGTCGTTCCCTCCAAGGGGTTAGGCATGGGAGGGTTTGACACAACGGTCCGCGTGGTTGGGGCTGCAGGGCTCTGGGACCTTGCTGACAAAGGCAACACTAGAATCGGCTTTCCGGCTACTGCCGATGCGCCCGGCAGGTTATTGTTTTACGGGCCATATTTCTGACGGTCGGTGTTATGTGGCTATGTGGCATTTCGTGTTCCCGAGTACACAGCTTAGTGCCTTATTATATTTCCTCCTGCCAGCCTCAGGGATTACTCGCTCACTTTACTCTCCCTTTCCACCCCCCACCCACTTAATAATACTTGTATAAAATAATGATTGACCAAAAAAAATAAACACATATGCAGCCACACACAGAGACCCGTACCCACCCAGACACACACACATGCAAACATACCTACACAGACACGTACACACAGCTACACATGCGGGCACACACACAGATACATATACTTTCACAGACACATACATTTGCATACATACATACACAGATACAAATATATACCTATACATACACACTGGTGCACACTCCGATACACTAATATATCCACACAGATGCACACATATACTTACACATACTGTCACAGACACAGATACAAACATACTTTCACAGACCCATACATTGGTACACACAGATGCACACATACACACACTGGCACAGATACATACATACATACATACATATCCATACATAGGCACATATAAACAGATACCCACTCAAACACACAGATAGACATACCTACACATATACACTAGCACACACACACCTCAAATTACACACTAGCATACACATATATCACCATTTACATATTACTAACCACCCCCTCCCCTCCTTCCATATGTTTTGGTTACAGACAGATTACTTCCTGGGGCTGGCTGATGATGATGTGAGTCTGAAGTGCAGTATTCCCTCCTCCTCCTCCTCCTCTCTGTATCCTCCCAGCCTCCCCTTGGTCTGTAAACTGGGAGGAAGTAACAGTTAGTCACTAACTCCCAGCCCTTTGTGCACATATCAAGGAGGCTCGGCCATGCCTATTGCCCCTATATATAAAGTTATTTATTGATTTTCATCAAAGTCCCAGAGCAAGAAGCAGCGGGTGAACCTCAGGGAAAAGGTCAGACTGTTCTAAAATGGCTTGGCTACTTACAACAGGGAGCACCAGGGCTACTGGCACCATAACTACTACAGCATCCTCTAGAGGTTATTGTTCTTGGAGTGTCCATTTAAAAACTGTAGAGGATTTTTTTTTTCTCTTCCACTTTTTTTGTTGCTCTTGTATTTTTAGTATTCATATTCGGAGTCCGTCCAACGGGCAAAATGTCTTCTGGCCAAATACAGTATTTATACCGTATGTTACTTGAATTGGGGTGGAGGGCACATTGAGGAAACTGCCCTTGGGGCAACAGAGCCAGCAAAAACTAACCCTGCTGGTGCTCAATAAACCATTCAGCTTATAAGAACTTAATTTTTTTTATTATTATTAATTAGAAAATTTATCTATTAATTTTGAATGTTGAATTTTTGTAGTTCTGTTGCAGAAAAAGTTGAACTTGGTTGAATTGAAATTTTACCACTAAACAAACCGTAAGCGTCAAACTTTCTTTTTATAATGGTGTTTTGCTTGGTTCCACACGATTGATTGCGTCTCTAATAGCGCCTTCTACAAGAAACAATTAAATTGGAAATATTACTTTTTGTCCAGGAGATGTCACTCTCGTTTCACAGAAACTGCATTTTCTTACATGAGTTTCCAAACGAAAGCTCGAAGTAAGGCTGTAAGATTTACATAAACTAAAAAAAGCAATGTGCAATGAACAAAAAATATATATTTATATTTTTGTAGATCTAATGGATCACCAATTTGTGGTTCTACCTTTAACAGCAATTTCCCCCCTTCTGTTTAATTATTCTTTATATATAATACAGTAAAATATAATGAATATATTAAACTAAACAGTAAAAGTTATTCAAGTGAGAACTGTTGGCATTCCACATTTTTATGCCAAAACAGATTATTTTTTTATTTTTTAAAGTCTGCTCTTGATAATTTTTCAGTTTTGCTATTTCGATCTACCTTTTGAAATTTTAATTTGAATTCCGGAAAATTTACATTTTAATGAATAATTCTAATAATTTGAAAGTTTGCTCTTGCATAAGTAATTGCCTCTGTCACATTTAGTAAGGGGTTATTGATAAAACAAAAATGATTCTCTCCAAGTTATTAAATTTACATCACTATCCGTGCTCTGTAATGCTAAATTCGTGTTCTAGATACAACACCTGGCTGTGAGCTGTGCTCTTTTCTAGGCTAACCTTGACTCCCGTGGCTGTCTTGAAAATATTGTGCAAGTGAACAAATGCAGTTATAATGGAGGCATCTCGTTCCCCTGGGATTCCGTTAGAGAATATTTTTACTTCCTGAGGAGCAGAGATGTCAATCACGTTTTTGTTTCTAATATATAATCTGTTCATTGAAAATATCTGTAGGGATGGCAACATGTCACATCCACTTTTAAAGTTTATTATAATTATATTTCATAAAGTACAACAAACTTTGATTCTCAGGAGATTCTGCAGCAGGTGTGGGATATATTGTACTGATTGCTGTTTTGGGCAACTGACATCTCTACGGTCCCAATACAGTACATACAATAACATATACCAACATTGGCCTACCCCCGTTCTTTATATATGAAAAAAGGTTCTAAACAGACTCTGTTATCATCTGTGAATGTTACTTTTTCAAATACATGAGAAAATAATTGTAGCGCATTCTATTAAAGTGAAATTTACCAGAATATCCTATGTTCTACATTTGAGCATAGGCAACCTTCGACACTTCAGATGTTTTGTACTACACCTCCCATGATGCTTTGCCAGCATTCTGGATGTAAGAGCATTATGTGGGATACAGTCCACAACATCTGGAGTGCCGAAGGTTGCCTATCCCTGTTCTAGCACATTGAAAACTGAAAAAAAATGAAAAAATGAGTAACTGTATGGCCAATTAAAGACTGGCAGTCTATATATTTAAACCTTCATGATAAATGTATATCACAAATAGTAAAAACATACAAACGTATTATGCAAGAAATTAGCCGTAAGTCCTACTTTAAGCCCTTGCATTTTCTGTTACTCACATTATCAGGGTTATTCTCGATCGTGAGTATTCAAAGTCAATTCAAAGAGAATTTCAAATTTAAGGCCATAGAAGATGAATGGAAAGCATAGCCGACCTTAGAATGTTTCCAGTTTGGCTATTTTGACTTTGACCTTCAAGAATAACCCTGTATGGAATTAAATATTTCAATGGAATGGAGAGTATTTTACAATCCTATGCTTATATACTCAAACCTTCTGTATTAACACCAGACCATGATGTGTTCACTAATCTTGCACCCCTTTGCATTAAAACTCTGCACCTACAGCAAGAACGTACTGTGATGTTTAATACACTTTAAAGGGACACCAGACCCTTAAAGCACTTGAGCTTGCTTAAAAGGCTTTGTGTGAAAAGTGTGTACTATAAACATTTTTTTCAAAGTGCGGTTTTCAATAAAAATGTATACTTTTTAAAATTATACTAGTTACACCCCCTTGGCAGTGAATCAGACAACTGGTCCTTTTACTTCCTGGTTTGATTAGCTCAGTGGAGCTAAACCCAAGAAGCTGCAACTGCAACAAGCACCTGCATTAAAGGACCACTATAGTGCCAGGAAAACATACTCGTTTTTCTGGCACTATAGTGCCCTGAGGGTGCCCCCACCTTCAGGGTCCCCCTCCCGCCGGGATCTAGGGTGAGGAAGGGGTTAAACTTACCTCTTTCTCCAGCGCCGGGCAGGGGAACTCTCCTCCTCCTATCCGCCTCCTCTCCTCCTCTTCGGCTGAATGCGCATGCGCGCGCATTCAACCAGTCTCATAGGAAAGCA